GCGGATCACTGATCGGTCACGTTACTTTATAGGTTGAAGATGATTGGACTTGAAACCTTCGTTTCTACTACATAGTAGTGTATCTATAGTACGATATTTATGATGATTTGTAGGAATGGCCGGGTCAAACAACGACATTACTGTAATGTTTTTCGGTGCTTGTCTCTTTTTGATCGCGACCGCACCGGAGTTGCGCCAGCCGTGTCATTCAACATTGGCAGCTCAACTTTCACCAATCCGTCAGCACTTTAATATAATTGTCGGTATATCGATACTTTATAGTTTTATGAACTAATAGATATTACTTGGTCGATGGTATCTATCCTGCCTCCAGCCACTTTGTACCATCGATTTCTCAGCCAGTTGACTTGACTGCCAAGCGCTTTGCCACGCACCAAGAAGCCGCGCAAGGACGTCGAGCGTTGCTTTGGAGTGCTCCAACAACGCAGCCCATGAGGGCAGACTGTCCCCGATGCAATTCACTGGTCGCAAAGGTGTGCCTGCTTTTACACAACATGATCATACAAGACGAGGAAGTACTTACAGTGCCAAGGGACCACCACGCGGAGGCTGAGGTTGCACGCTGCAACATTGTCGTTACCGAGAACTGCCTTGGCCCAATGCAACGCGATCTCGCTGGGAAGCGGTGCTTTGATTCCTCCGAGTATGAGCGAAATGAATCGTCTCCTTTACAATCTGCATTGATTCAGCATATCTCGCACGTTCACGGCGACAACGACACCTAAGAAAATACTTGAAGTTGACCGGCGCGATGGAGCAAATTAGCTCTCAACTGTCGATTGAATAGGATCGCTTCCTCGGAATGAGGATCCTGAGCAAATACTTGAAACATAAATTTCAACTCGGCTAATTCATGACGTTGAGCCATGTTCTTCGCATTCGCTTCAGCTACCTTCACGAATCGAGCGTGTAGCTCGTCGTGAGCTTGCACAGCTGGGACTTGCTTGGCCAGTTTCGCTTGCTTCGTACCAGTGGGGCGAAGTATTTCGACGGCATTACGTTTTCCCTGGGACACGTCTTCGACCCGCCATTTTGGAGCATTGCGCACGATACGCCAGCACGCCAAGACTGTCGTGCGCTCGATGCCATGTAGTTTGACATCGGGATGGCGTATAGTTCGTTGTCGATCACGCCGTCTTCATTCCAGCCTGATGGGATGGCCTTGAGTTGAATGACATTGCTGTTGAAACTTGTCAACATGGGACACAGCTTTTTCCATCGTGAGGCGATCGCGACGGGCAAGCGGCTGCTGTGATTGGTGGTTGTCTTGTTCTCATGCCAGTGTTCATACACACGCTTGTTGAAGTCCGATGCCTCCGGATACCATAACTCTAGTGGTGATATTTGCATAAATCCCTCCAATAAAGTCATACTACGTACTTAGTAGTATTAACGTGGCCGACCATTGATGTGCCGATTGTGTTGTGATCGAATAAAGTCGGACATCTCATCCGACTCAATTCTCATTGGCTTAAATTCGACCTAATTATCTCGCCTTTACTTTTTGCTGCATCATTTGGGGTCACAGTCTGTCAATTCCGACTTCATTGTGCTCCTACATCCACAACTTTGAGAAATACTAAGGGGAGCTTATATATATATGGGTGCCGGTCAATCCATTAAGTAGGGTGTATAGGGTGTATATGCGGGAATGCCATAAAAACCCGGATTACAGCAACTTATGTCTCCCGTCTACGTTTTCTAGCCAGACGTGCAAATGTGACCATCTTCATTTGGGACATACGAAGCTGACGTCCAAGTTCAGTGAAACCCCTGGATGATGCCAAATTGGCCATTATAGTGCCAAATGCAATGCATCTATAGCCGTGGCCGAGGTGTAGGGACGACCCAAACCAGTGCCAATCGTGTTGTTATAAACGTTTTAGAGTTCCTGCACCGCGAACTTCCACTCACACAAGATATTGCCTTGATTCTTGGTCAAGTCCCGCGACTTGATCTTGTACAGCCAGCTAGCAACGACAGTACAGCACAGTATCGTGGAGCCTGGTGCTCCACACCACCAGTAGTACTAACCAACCACTACTACCAAAGCCACACCCACCACCACAGCAATCACTACTGCTCATCCTACGACCACCACAGCCAGACCTACCACTCACTACTACCACACCTCCAGTAGTACCAGGCTCGAAGGTACTGTACTGTCGTTGCTAGCTGGCGGGTTGCAGGCAAAACTTCATTATGTTGTTCATCTGCCATGGTCAAAGCACTTATAACCAATCAATGGATACAGGACATTCGGTCCGACTTTCTTCTGTCAATTTCTCACGTCTGGTTTTGACTTCGCTTTTGTATATAATAAATATAACAACGAACAAATAAGTCGGACAAACCGTCCGACGATCACTTGGTTCCTGTATATCCTGTCCGACTTTTTCCCACTAACGTAGAAGACCAGTTTAAGATAGTAACTTAACCAATTTAGGATAACTTTGTATTGCCCAATCGCACCTCGTTAACTAGTTATTTGTTCGAGTCAAAACCTCTGTCATATAATGCTGACCATTCCGTCAGGTGAATGAAATGCAAAAACGGCGTAGAAACCATTGCCAACAGTCATTCAAGATTGGGTTTGAAGTACCCTGGTCGACACGGGTCACATTGGGTTGGATCTGAGGTTGTGTCGAATGTTAAACTCGGTGGACATCCTTCCACAACAGAAATATAACTCTATAAAACAGTACCTTTGTATAAATTATATGCAACCTGTTGTAACCGCTTACCCTAAACACAGAATTTCAATATGCTCTGACACATACATACTTTAAGATAAAAAAGTTATCCTAAATTGGTTATCAAAATGAGAGTACAAATGCTTAGAAAGTAATAAATTTACCTGTGATTATGAACTGAAAGCGGAGCGTCTTGTCTATTGGAATCACTATTCAAAACTCAAATATCGTAACGTGTCCATTCTACTCCGACGCCTCCAAAAAAGTTATCTTAAATTGGTTTTTTACGTTAATGGGCGACTTATTCATCCAATCAAACCCTAAATCGATTTTGATTGGACAAAATGCAACCCCTAGACAAATGATACCTGTATAAATTCATTTTTGAACCCTAAACATTTGTGTTTAAAAGTACTTCTATACATGATACATGTTCGAATTGTATAAACCTTTATAAAATGGTAATCGTATGTTGTTGAAATAGGTTGAAACTTTCATTTTCAATACATAACTCAAGTATAAAAATCGGCACATCAATGGTCGCCCTGTGTAAAGAAAGTACTCAACTTCAAAAATTAATTGTGCAATCCTAATCTGTTTAAATCGATATACTTTGGGCTCATTCAAAAGAGCTCAACGTTATCCATCCAAAAATGTATGTATCAAGGGGGGTTTCGAAAAAACAACTGAAATATTCGAAAATGAAGACAAATCGGCACATCAATGGTCGGCCACGTTATAGGACTTTTCGGGGTCAAATTTATATTTGGATTTATTGTCGATTTGCTGGGAATTTCCGGATACAGAGAGGTTCAAATCCCTACTTTCATAAACCACGCGACGGCGTTTGATCGGTTTATCTGTGAGTTTGGCAGTTTCGCATTTGCGCGCCATTTCCAAACGCACGCCCTTCTGCCAGCTCGTCGATACCCATGAGCGCCATTGAGTCTGTTGCCTTCTACCGACATGCCAGCCCCAACACTATGATGCTATTCCTCTACGACTACTACTTCCTAGGGACGAAGAAGTCTTGTTTGGCAGTCCTCTATGGGAAGGACGAGAAAACTATTCATTTCACACCCACGACGCACCACCACAGTCGAACGTTGCCAACCTCACAGCGGACGCGTTGCGCTGACCGACAGTCTCTTTGATCGTAGCCTCAAGTGTGAGCTCGTACAACGAGGTTGAGTGCGCCCCCACCTCTGGTTGTAGGCTTAGACGTGGGCTTTGTGAGGATATCGTGTTCCT